GGAGCAGCAGGCCCGTGATTCAGACGCATGTGACTAACATGCAAAATCGCTTCACTAAATTGATATCTTTGTTCGTCCCGATGGTGTCCACAGAATCTCAAATCGGTTGACTGCTGTACGAAATGGGGTTTCGGTAATACTAATTTGTTAAATCAATCTGCCTAACTCTGTCATGCGTCCAAACTGTTAAATCATTCTGTCCAAAATGGTCATCATTTATCCCAACCTATATCCAGTATGTCCAAAATGCTCATCGTTTATCCCAACCTAAATCTGATGTGTCCAAAATGCTCATAACTTATCCCAACCTGTATCGACTACCCAAATCGGTTCCGATCATGAACTAAATAGGAAAATCGAACTGACCAATTCGGTTTGATGATTGTCCAATTGATTTTTCGTTTGTCCAAATCGCTTCACCTTTGTCCTAACTTACCTGGTCAAAGGAGTATTATTATTTTTATTATTATTATTATTTTCCCCTTCAAATTTGCAACGATGAGGGAAAAATGTTGTAAAACGAGAAAACCGGCTCAATGCCACTGAAAGCTTCCGACAACAGTATGCGTAGCGGTTCGGAAGAATGCATGTGGACCGTATGGAAGGTCCGGTGCGTAATCTGTACCAGCTCAGCGATACATGCAAGTACATTGTGACGAGGGCATGCATGATCTTGTCTGAGACTTATTACGGGATGGAGTGGGGGGGGAGTGGCGCGGGGAGGGCGGGGAGAAAAAGAGAGAGATAGATAGATAGATAGAGAGAGAGAGAGAGAGAGAGAGAGAGAGAGAGAGAGAGAGAGAGAGAGAGAGAGAGAGAGAGAGAGAGATTAGCAAGGCAGCAGACTATCCCCTACGCCACGTTATAGCTCTCGCTGCAGTTCGCGACCTTCTAAACGTACCTGGATCGCCCGATGGTCCCTGTACATTCAAAATGTTGGGTCAGTCGAAATGCATCTGGACGATAGCACAGTCCAAGAACATTTAGAATGTGTTGTGTTGTGCATCAAGGCCCATATTGATCCTTGGAGGAGGAGAAAACAGGCAAGGACTGGAACTCTTAGGGTCGATGCTCCAGGGTCGGGAATTTTCATTCATGCTTTCTTCTTTCATTCATGCTTTCTTCTTTCGATCGTTTGACATCCAAACGCCTTTGCTCGCCCCTTTTACCTTTTTAATTGATTATTATAGTATGTGTCCTTCTTGCAAGTGCCGTCCAAAGAGTTTCCTCCCCCTGCCTCGGCATTGACTACACTATTCTTTCTCCTTGGTGTGCAGCGTACCTGCCATTGCCATTGCCATTGGCCGCAAGGATCGCATGACACAGCTTCGCGTGTGATTGATTGATTGATTGATTGCGTACCTGCCATTGCCATTGCCATTGCCCGCAAGGATCGCATGACACAGCTTGGCGTGTAATTGATTGATTGATTGATTGATTGATTGAGGGAGGGAGGGAGAGTAAGTGTTGAGGGAGATGCCACGTTTGGAGACAGCTTAAGTAAGGAAGGGTGGGTTTGTTCTCGGCATGACATCTGCTCACATCCAACAGCCTCTTCTTTCTGTACAGATGTGCAATCAATCATCTAACACGCAGCATAGATAAGTTGTGCAGTCAATCATCGATGCAGCATAGATACGTTGTGCAATCAATCATCTAACATGCAGCATACCTAAGTTGTGCAATCAATCATCTAACATGCAGGATACCTAAGTTGTGCAATCAATCATCTAACATGCAGCATACCTAAGTTGTGCAATCAATCATCGATGCAGCATACCTAAGAACCGTCGCAGCCAGGCCTTCCGAAGGATCGCTGAGGAGGGCCTGCCGCTGGTCGGGCATTCTTGTGTGCAGGCAAGCAGGTGGTAATGCAATAACCCTATGGTCTACTCAGAGTTGGAAGTCTGAAAGTCTTTCTGCCGCAAATGGCTGAGCGGTGTTGAGATCTGTGTCTCAGGAGTGGTAGAAAACTGTGTTTTTTTTTTTCCTGAGAAGAACGGTGCAGAAGTCGTGCCTGCCTGTCCGTCTGCGGACTGGAGCGCAGATTGGTGAGGAAGAGGAGGGAGCAGCTGCGACAGCGCCCAGCTATGGTGGACAACGCTCTGGAGGAGGCAGTGTAGTGGGGTATGGCACTAAAGAAGAATGAATTTTTCTTTGTTGACGGCTGGGGGTGATGGCAGTTGGCGTCTGTGAGAGAGAGAGAGAGAGGTGGAAGAGAGGCTATTTTTTGAGTGAAAAGTGGGGGTTCTCGTATTATGAGTGGATGTTGGGAGAGAGGCTCCGCAGTCTTCATTATTCTTTGTGAAGACATTCATTCATTGTTTGGGTTATCATTATAATTAGGGTTAATGTGCAAAATACCCCCATAAGTTGAGATATATGCCAAAATGCCCCTAAAAGATGTGGGTAGAACGGAACGCCCGTCTGACCAAAAACATATTTTGTGAAATACCCCTTGCGTCGGTTGGATCCCCATCTTTGCAATAAATATACCCCTACCGAGTACTGTCCAACTTTGCAAAATGCCCCAGTACTTGGCAACTTCTCCTCGGCGCTATTGCCGAAGGCCTAGGCCCAAACGGGTAGGTCCAGATTGCAAATTTGCACACCCGCCTGCTAGGGGCACAACACAAAGATTTCGGCCCAAAAGGGCATTCCACTCTACCCACATCTTTCAGGGGCATTTTGGCATTTATCTCAACTTATGAGGGTATTTGACAAATTATCCCTTATTATTATTATATTATAGTAACTGGAGGATTGATAGGGGGTGACCTGTGAGGTACCGGGCCGGTTTTAGGCCTGTGAGGTAGGGTAAGTAGGGTAGAGGTAGAGAAGGTAGCTAGTATAGTAAGGAAGTAATACTGGTGGTCTCCTTTTTTAACGGAAATGAAATTTACTAAGTGAATTGAACTATCAGCGAAACTGGCTAAGGCTGCCAGGGTGACTCCGGGTTGAAATGTGGGTCCCCGGCCCGACATCAATTTTTTTTCGCAATGAATTGTTGAACCTTAAAAAAAAAAAAAAAAAAAAAAAAAAGATATAGTCTATCTTATGGATGCAATCGTTACTGGTTATCCCCTCTGCAGTCTTCTTGGCAGGTAGGGGAATGAACGTACAGCTAAGTTGTGCCCGCTGTAAGTGGGCATGGGAAACCACTCGCCATTTGTGGTTGGACTGCCCCTTCTCCAAACGAATCTGGTCCTGGTGGCGTACTCACTGGAGAAATCTGAACATCTCCAACCTGGAATGGTCGGATGACTATATTTTAGATGGTATCCCAGTTAAAGCTGGGACAGCTGGCACGACGGGGACGTACGTGGCCCAAGTCTTCAGAGCGGTACCGCTCTCTTGTATTTGGGAAGAAAGGAACTGCCATGTCTTCCGCCAGGAGCGGATCCCAGATACAGTTTTGAAAACTAAGATTAAAACTCAACTCAGACAGTGTATCTGGGCGGACTGGCATAGGAAAGCTAGGTCAGGAGCTTCATCTACAGGTTTAAAGTGGTTCTGGAGCACTTGGGGTCACAACGGCAGACTGGTGGTGCGAGACGACAAAGGTAAACCGTCGGTTACTTCCTGGTTAGCAATAGGGCCGCTGTAGGCCCAATGTCATGGTTACTAGTTTGCAGGGGAGAGCTACCTTTTTTTTTTTTTTTTGATCTGTGCTTCAAGTTGAAGTTTTTGGAAAGTGTCTTTGGATGGGACGCAGGACCCGGTTTCCTGCAGGTTTTGATAGAGAGAGCTAGCAACAGTTGGTGGGTTTTCGAGCTTTTGCTTGTAAGCGAAACTGGCTGAGGCTGCCAGGATAACTCCGGGTTGAATTGTGAGGTCCCCGGCACCAAAAAAAAAAAAAAAAAAAAAAAAAAAAAAAAAAAAAAAAAAGATAGGGGGTGACGTGATTTTCGTTGTTGTTTTGTAATGATTATTATTATCCTACCTCTTGATGTGGCTGCAGTGGTAGGGTCATGGTCCACTGCATGCCAACAGGGGATATATATTTGAGCAGAGCCGTTAGATCTCCACCATCTGCGGCTGAGATCTATTTCCGCACTTATCTATAACTGAATGTTTGCAAACCAGCAGCAAATGAGGAACTTGTTTTTCACTGAACATCAGTTCTGCCGCTTCTGCTTTCTGCAACGGGCGTTGATCTGCACAAATTTCTTGAAATGGCCATCATACGATAGCAAGCACTGGGTGACAGACGACAAACAGCCTGCATCCCCCCCCTCCCCCCCCAAAAAAAAAGGAAAAAAAGGAAAATATAGCGAGAAGTGCCAAGCACTGACGAACAAACGTCCTCAATTCAAAATGTGGGTGTTTTGAGTTGTTTTTGTGTGACGCTTGCACGTGCCTGGTTATTCATTCCATGAAACAAGAGGTGCTAGGACGGGGGGGGGGGGTAGGGGAGTGGGAAATGTGACCCAGCTAGATTCCTCGCTGTCCTCGTGACATATTGTTGTCCTCCTTTCATTATGTATATCCTTTTGCAGGCCACCAACCTCCCATGGCCTTGGTGCCCTCGTCTTTTGTATGCATAACCTCCTCCCCATTGCACGAATGCGATTAGCACCCTCCCCCCCCCTCCCTCCCCCCCTCTTCGCCACCCCGACCAAACAAACAAACTGTCACAGTCCGGAAAGCCGACTGAAGGGTCCTTTTTCGTTGGTAAGCAGGTGTTATTCTATCTGTTTTTAATGAACCCCTCTTTGAACCAGGAATGAGGTTGTGTGCGGCCCATATCCGCTCTCTTATTTGTGGGTATGTACAATAGTTAAAAACGTTTTCCTTTCGTCGTTTTGGACCCTTTACTCTGCTGGAAGAAGGATCTCAGAAAGAGTCAGAAATTCCTCAGAATGCCTTTTTTGGCAACCTGTATCAAGCTCTGTGAAAGACACAATGTCATTGCTCTCGTTTTTCGGACTTTTTCCCTTTTGTGCCAGAATTGTGATGGTGATGAGCATCGAATCGGGGACAAGTGAACTGTTTCTTCATTCCTGTTTTTTCTTATATTCCTGTTGTCTAAAGGAGGACGGCTCATTGAATGAGAATGCATTAGCTCTTCCTCTCTGCGACATCCATCCATACTCACTCTGGCTCTTCTCTGATGTCAGTAATCAAAGGGCCTCACTCCACGGCGCACAGCATTCTAGTAAATGAATATGGACCTGGGGGCTGTCCCAATGCATTCTAAATGCTCGACCTGTCCGAGCGCATCGGGTCCATAAAACATCCCAGATATGCGTTGAATGTTGAGTAGTGAAGCGAGGCCCAAAGTGTGGTGTGGTGTCTCTGGGATGCATCATGGTGAAGTATATCATCTGAAGCACTCCCCTGATTGTCCTGTGATCGCCGTTCTGACGTTTATCTCCTCCTGAGCCGGCCTCGGCGAACTCAAAGCAGCAGCAGTGACTTCCCTTGCGGGACAAAGTTGCTTACAGCAGGTCTGAATATAGTCAATATACTGCAGCACAATCCTACATGATGCTCTGAATATCCGCAAGGTTCGTGAGCAAACAGACTCCGTTTGTCAAAACGGAGTGATGAGTCTGATGACAGATACTGCCACCATTTGTAACAAAAAGTCTGTGCTTGTCCTTGTGTGTGTGCACGCACTCATTGTTGCATTTCGTGTGTGTGTGTGTGTGTGTGTGTGTGTGTGTGTGTGTGTGTGTGTGTGTGTGTATGTGTGTGTTGCTGCGTGTTGCTGCGTGCACATGCGGGCACATGCGTATGTGTGTGTGTGTGTGTGTGTGTGTGTGTTGCTGCGTGCACATGTGGGCGCATGTGTGTATGTGTGTTCGGCTTTGTCATTGCAGCTCCGATCAACAATGTTTGGCCGTGGTGCACAGGCCGTGCTTCTGCCTGTACAAGAGAAGCTTTGCTCGGGGGCAGATGGAGGCCTGGTCTTCGCTTCAGTCCTGCAACGGCACCAGGAGATCGAGGGCAGCATCTGCCCGTTGCAGTGTCTCAGTACGCCGTGCAAAATGATGAGTGCTCACAGGTGCAGGACGCAGAACGTTGGTTCGTGGAACATGAGGCCAAGGGGTGCTGCTGCACATGATCTCCCATCTTGTTGTTCTAAATACCTGTTGTCCTCCTCACCATCTCACAGACTTGTTGCAGACGGACAGAATCGACCAGGAAGGGTCCATGCTTCTTCCGTTCGTCGATATGACTGCGAAATTGGGAAGGGTTGCAGCCAGAAAGCTCTGCAGAATGACGGGAGAGAAAACAAGGGACACAGGCTCAAAACGAAATGGAATTGCCGAAGGGTTACATCGTTGGCATCGGCAGCATCAGCACCCGGGCTAGCATCAGGTCAGTGCTATGTCTGCAGTCATTGCAGAATGCAGAGCCTTCAGGTTGGCACCAAAATGGCAGTAGCTGCAAGGGAGCTCACCAGTGTGCGTCGGCCTCCCCATACCATGAAAGGACAGGAAGTAGCGGTCATGTTGTCGGCTGCAGCTGTGGGCAGCAGGTCCACTGGGAGTGTCCTTGTTCGCCGTGGCCGTCCCGGCTCTTCGCAAGCACGGAGTCCATGCAGTAGGTCAGCTAGTGAGGATGGTGATATTATATCACATTTGGATAGGGAAGACAGCTCCCAGGAAGGCGAGAGTCCGCTGCTGCTGGGCGTGGCAATCTCGGAGAAGGAAGGAGAAATTCAGGTGATGGGCTGTAGCGAAAACGAGCTGTCAAATGTCTCAAACGGACCACCACTACCGATGGGCAAAATGTTGGCGGACAACGAAAGGTTGGAAACGCCGTCGCCTGAGACAAGCAACCATGAAGCGGAAGTCTTCCAAGCGCCAAGAGGAGGAGAGGAAGTCGGAGCAGGAACAGAGGGTGAACGACAAGGAACGGAGGAAGGGAAAACAGCGGATGCCAGTGCGCTACAGCCAGCGGGGAAGATCGACTACGGCGAGTTGTGGCATTTGCATCGTTGGAGTATACCGTGGAGTGGCGGCTCCACAGCTCTGGGCATGGTCGGTTGGCTGTTAAGCTTTGTGGTTACGGGATATGGAGTGACGTTGGCAGCTATGAAACTGGGGCTGACTCGAAGTCAGTTGAACATGGACCCTGACGCCCAGGCGCTCTTCCTGTTGGTTAACCAGTCTGTCCAGACGATAGTTGGCGTGTTAGCCATTACCTTGGTGGTCAAACCGTTCGAACCTTTGCCTGAAGACTTGTTCGTGTTTGATGTGCGGAGGCCGCGTTTCAGACTCAAGGACGGGTGGCTCTTGTGGGCGGGTATAGGACTTGCAGGTGCAGTTGTCGCTGTCCAAGTCTCGTCCCAGGTTGTGTCATTCTTTCACGGAGGAGAGATGCCTCCACGGGAAAAGAACGAGGCCCTCATGCAGCTCTTGCCATTGATTGGTGTGTCGGGCACGACCACCTTCTCCCTCCTCACAGTGACGGGCGCATGTGCTCCCCTTTTAGAGGAGTTTGTGTTTCGTGGATTCCTGATGACGTCGCTGACAAAGTGGCTTCCCACCTCGCTCGCGATCGTGCTCAGTGCCAGTGCATTTGCGATGGCACATTTCACACCTGCAGAGTTCCCTCAACTGTTCAGCCTCGGATTGATTCTTGGCTTCTCGTACGCACGCACCCGGAATCTACTTACCCCCATGATCATCCACTCTCTCTGGAATTCAAGTGTCATCCTGCTTCTCACTCTTCTGCACATGCAAGGGTACAATATTTCTGAGTTCCTCAATCAGTGATAGCCTGACAGCTGAACCATCAAAAGGAGGGCCCACTTCGGACGGCGGCGACGTCAGCACATTCTGGACACAACGGGTCGAAAGCATACTGGAGACGAATTGGAGTTTTCTGCACGACGTCAGCCCATTCTCGCCACAATGTGTCAAAAGCATACTGGCCATGAATCGGAGATTTCCGCACTACAGATTTTTTCCCCTCCTCCCCAGAAGGAAAGTCCAAACACCTGCTTGGGACATCCGTTAAAATTGGAATGATACCGAGAAGATTAGCATGGCCCCTGCCAAAAAGGGAAAAAAAAAAAAAAAAAAAAAAAAGGAAAGTCCAAATACCTGCTGTGTGGGGTATGCCAAGCACCAGGTGTGAGCGAACCTGACATCGCCTCAGAGCGTCGTCGTACATCCTGTATGTGTTGAAGATGTACTGTCGTCCAAGTGCACTTGGACTTTGTATATTGCGCTATTTGTAAAGTAGCTTTTTTTTCTTTCCTATATTTTTTGTGACAAGCAAAGTTCTCGATTGTCACTTCATTCTCCATATCTGCAAAAGAAGACATTTGCCAAAGAGATTTCTCTCTCTCTCTCTCTCTCTCTCTCTCTCTCTCTCTCTCTCTCTCTCTCTCTCTCTCTCTCTCTNTGTGTGTGTGTGTGTGTGTGTGTGTGTGTGTTTGTGTGTGTGTGTGTGTGTGTGTGTGTAAACGAGCCTCTAGCGTTGTGTGTGCAAAACGTTTTGGCATTTGCTGCATGTGCATTTGCATTTGAAATCAAATTTGGGTTGTGTGTGTGTGTGTGTGTGTGTGTGTGTGTGTGTGTGTGTAAACGAGCCTCTAGCGTTGCGTGTGCAAAACGTTTTGGCATTTGCTGCATGTGCGTTTGCATTTGCAATCAAATTTGGGTTGTGTGTGCAATATTGTGTGGCATTTGCTGCATGCGCATTTGCATTTGACTGTTGAAATCAAATTTGGATTTGCGAATTGTAATCTGCATGTCTGCAGAACGTTGAATTTGAGTTCACATTTGCAATCCAATCTGCGCGGGAGATTGCATCGAGATTTGACCTTGCAGTCAAGATTTTGCAAGTGCGAAAATACTGCCTTTGGATTTAAAATTCGAATTTGAATTTTAATCGAAATTGAATTTGTCGAGTTGAATTTTGATGTGGATTGGAGATTTTGAATTTGGATTTGATTCCCCCACCCCTGCTCCCCCCACCTCGCCCCCCGCCTGGAAATGGCAAAATCCACTTTTGCATTCCAGAAAGAGCCTCAGTTTTGGTTTAGTACTATTCTTTCCGCGGTCTGTTGGCAATAGTCTGGGTTCACTGAACCGTTTTGAGAAGAAGCCAGGTGAACTGCTATATATAGTTGAGGAACAGTAGTCCTTTCTATCTGAAGCCAGGATTTGACCCCTGAGGAAGACCGGCTGGCGACCGGTCGAAACGCGGCGTCGGGTCGCGCCGCCGTGCGTCGTTGGATTGTCAATCATTTGTGTTCGAAGCGATGCGCGCCTGTGCTCAGATTCTGTCATCATCGTCTTGTCTTGATCTCCCTCCTGCTTTCGTCTGTCATACTCTCACATCTGCTTGCATGTGTGAAAGTCAATGTGTATGAAGACTTTAACGTGTTTTATTACAAGCAATAACCGTTGTAGCAATATACTACGTTCGAGTGATTGCGCCGATCAGTGCCCTGTCGCTGCAAATGCAGTGTGTGGATTATCACTGGTCAATTGTCTTTCCCTCCCCCCGTCCCTTTCTTTCTTACTCCTTTTCACGTTCGTCTACTGCTTGAGTCTGTCATCATGAAAAGAGGGAGTCCATATGGAAGGAGAAGAAGTAACGGAAACAATAAAACAGTATATACAGCAAGAACTCCTCTCATGATGGCAAAAAGTCAAAAACCAATTACAAATATATCACTCTAAGAAAGACATCACACAAGCAATCAATCAATTCTCAGGGGACTGGCTGGGCAGTGAAAAAGGGGGCTGGATTGCCTATATCCGATGGGAGGGTGGACCGCAGGAACAGACAGTCTTCAGAAGGGACTACTGTATCTGTTTCAAGGATTGGACTAAGGTTGATCAAGGAGTGCCATTACGCTCACCAACAGAGTTCCCGGATCCATTCCCCCCTCGTCAACTGTCGATGGTGGACATGCAATGGTATGGGGCAGAATAAGGGCTGTCCGGAGCGTTGACATCCATATTGAAGAGTCTTGGATGGGTGTTAGAGTTCAGATGGAAGAAAGGGTACGTTAACAGAACCACCAGAGATCAGCAGTTGCATTTTGCCCCAGCAGTACACCAGATGAAAGGCTAGCAGCATCAGGCTAACTTAGTCAGGGGTGAGGGGTGGTAACCACCAGAGATCAGCAGTTGCATTTTGCCCCAGCAGTACACCAGATGAAAGGCTAGCAGCATCAGGCTAACTTAGTCAGGGGTGAGGGGTGGTAACCACCAGAGATCAGCAGTTGCATTTTGCCCCAGCAGTACACCAGATGAAAGGCTAGCAGCATCAGGCTAACTTAGTCAGGGGTGAGGGGTGGTACATCCTTCCTACGGGAAGTAATCAATGCCGTCCACTCGGGCCTCTCAACCTTAATGGGGAGGAGCGTGGGGTGAGTTTTTATCTTGTATTATTCAATGACTTGCCGGGGGAATAGGAACCGGACTGTCGCTCCCCAGAATGGTAGGAGCCAGAACCAAGGGGTTCTGAGAGGGGGGGGGGGGGGGGAAAAAGAGTCTGTCATCATGAATTACGGAGGTCCCCGGGTATGCCATCATTGTAAGCAACCTGGGCATTTCGTTAGGGACTGTCGACTACGGCAGATCCCGAATGCCGCCGCTCTACTAGGAGGCAATGGAGGAGAAGCGAATCGAGGATCGGCGTGCCAAGATAATGACGGCTTGATGCCGACTCCGAAAGCGATAGTTCCGTACAGAGCGCCTGCGGCGAATGGTGGTCAGCAGGGAGGGAGTTAGTCCGGGTCCAGTCAAGGGTATGGTAGTTATAGTAGTCAAGGATATGGGGGCACTCATAATCAAGGATATGGTAATGGCTACAATCGATCGGGTTATCAGCAGCGGCTAAAGAACAATTGGTGGGCCGAGAATCGGGAAAGAGAGAAGGACGAAAAATTCGATGGAGTGTGGGGTTGGTATTCGGAGGAGATGGAGAACAAAGAAAAGGAGAAACAGGCAAAGGAGCAAAAGTTGGAGGAAGAAGAGAAAAAGAAGACGCAGCTAGCTGAGGAGGAGCGTGAGAAAGCGAAGCAAGGGAGGACTTTGAGCGCTCGATTGGGAGAATGGTAAAAGACAATATGAAGGAGGTTTGTGAGCAGGTGCTGGGGAAGAAGGCCAGTTCAAGTCAGGTTACAACTGCAGCGGTTAGCAACGAAGCTCGACGCAAGGAACAGGAGGATCGCTGGCAAAGTGAGGATGTCACGGCAAGAGAGCAATTAGAAAGATAGAGAAACGAGGAGGTCGAACGCTTGAGGCGTGAAAATGATGAGCTTACTAGGCGGGTCTCAGGAAGGGCCAGTAGAGAATTGGATTCCCTCAAGGCGGACAATCAAGCTCTCGTGCACGACATGCTTTTATTGAGGGATGAAATGGAGCAGCTAAAGCGAGGCAACAAGCGAGGTTTGGAGGCAGTCACGGAGAAGAGTCCTGCTGAACCGGTACACGGGAAGTCGAAACAAGGTGAAGAAGGTCAGACGCCTGCCGAATGGGCCAAGCTCGCTGAGGCGTACAGGCGGATGCGCGACGAAAAAGACAGGGCGGAGCGGGAGGTTTCTGCGTCGAAGGAACGAATCAATCGTATCAAGATCATGTCACCCTCGAGCTCCAGGAAGAAGCTGTTTGGGCGGAGGAAGAGCCTCAAAGGAGGCTGCAGTCCAATACGGAAAGATGGTGATCAGGTGAAGATCACTTTTGTGAGGAAGGTTGGTGAAGAAAAAGAGGCATTCTGTAGGAGGGTAAACAATGACCTTGGAAAGTTGAGGAAAGCACAGTTTGAAGCGCTATGTAAGGATGAAGGAATCGAGTACGGCGGGGTCAAGAAAACTGCGGGAGACCTAGCCGACATCTACACGGCAAGGGCTTACCAGCATCAGGCCAACAGAAGGTTGGCCGAAAATGATGAAGAGGAACATGAGGAGGAAGATCTTGAAGAAGGTGAGTCCGCGGATGTGGCAGGTGCTTCCACCGATTATGCAACAGCTGCCGAATCTCCGGAAGGCCGGTTCCGAGCGCCGGTGCTATTTATTCTTCTTTGGCCACTATTCGAGATATGAGGAACTGTGGTGATAAGTTGTGTCTGCCTAGTCTTAACCAGCTCTTTCGCTGCCATGTTATCTTATTGATCTTGTCCTCCACTCTCTCTTGAGGTAACAAGTTCGGTCCATATATTTCTACCCTTGCATGCTCTGATTGTGACGTACTAGCTTCCGGACCTGCGCCATCTTCTGGACCCCTTTCTTTTTGTTTTCCCTGCAGCCAGATGTGTACAGTTTGACCCCCTCCCCTCTTTGTCTATAATCGATTAAAGGTACCTTGCGGAAATTTGTCAGCTCCTTTCCCTTTTTCCCTGTTTTGTTTTTAAGTGAAAATACATGGGAATTTCGCGCGCCTTAACGAGTGCGCTTGGAATTTGGCTCGGCAGTTAGAAATCCCGGAATTATCGGAATACCGCGCGACCTTCCGCGCGCGAATGTTCTCGGCCTCGACCTTGAAAACTCTGGGAAATTCTTGTACGAATATGGATCGACGGAAGATTTTTCTTTCCCGCGTTTGTTTTGCGCGCGGGTATGGTATTTTCAATTTTTGAATTAGCATAGGATTGGGAAAAACTGCAACTGTTTTGGTGCCCATTTCCCCTCTTGCCGACCGGCGCCTTGCCAACAAGCTCCCTCCTCCTTCCTCCCTCGCGTTCCTCTCACCATCCTTCTTCGCGCGCACACGCTTCCTCGCCTCCGCCTCCCGTAACTGCTTTTCCCTCCCTTCCCTCAGCACGCGCCTTTTTTCTTTCTCCTTCTTGATCATCTGAATCTTGAACCCGTTTCGTGCTATCCTTCGCGCTCCTCCTCTTCCCGCTCTAAAATCCACGCTCGAAAACCCAGTTGATTCTCTCTCCCCACCTAACCAAGGAGAAGCGCCGTGTAAGTTCTTACTGCACAACGATTCTGATTGGTTGAGGTCGAGTTAGGAGGATCAACATGGCTTTCGATAGACGGCTACTTGCAAACTCTCCCATGCCCTCCTCTGCCTCGCCCTTCACCCTTCTCCGCATCTCTCTCCCTTCTCGCAACCATAAATTCCACCGGCGCCCTCGCAAAACCCTCTCTCTCTCAACTCATCGACCAACTTCTGGGAAGTAGTGGCTAGGTGATGTGTACGATGCGAGTCGGAAAGTCCTGACGAGGCGACTGTAGACTGGCTGGCGGTGCKCTAGATCGCCACGACGGACTGTGGGATCCGGGCAAGCCACGTCGAGACTAAGTTGGCGGGGTGACGATCGCAGTGGTGGAGGATAATGCGCGACGACCGGGATCGTCGGCGTCAGAATGCGGACAAGTAATACGAGTTGAGTCTATGACTGGCCTGGGGCCGTGTTGGAATTTAATGGCGAGTACGCCCTCTTGGTTGCGACTCTATTCTTTGGTGTGACTTTGCGGCGGTAAAGCCGAACTTTCTTTCACTCCTCGATCTCTATGTAATTTCTCCTTCGATCTTTATTCCTCCCTCTCTCTCTTCCTTCGATGGTGAATGGTTCTATGTAATAAGCCAGAGATTGGCGTGTGATGGAATGAGTGTGATGATTGTATTCAAGTGGTTTCTTACGGAACTCTTCCATTAGTTTCCTGGGTAGTCCCCCGAGCTATTGGATTTTGTCTTGTGAACGGTGGATGCGCGTGTATCGACCACCAAGGATTCTTCCCTTGACGTCAACCTTATTGGGAAATTGCATGATTGTCATTTTTCGCACCTTCCACAGTGAATGCATGCGTGGGAGATGAGAGTGAACGAGTATGAAACCCATTTTGATTAGGGCGAGTTGATAGCAGGGCAATGTTGTTGGGATTTGGAAATGCAAGAATACTTTGATTTGATTTTCGAAGGAAAGTCGCGAGTATACGATGCATGATCCAAGTACGAAAATAATGGTTTTCTCTTTCTTAGAACCCTCTGTTTCTCGCGTCTGGCCTTTCCGATTGGATTGATAGGATTGCATGCACGCGATGAACGGTTAAGATATTCCTGATTGTTTGCCATGTGGACTAACAGGCTCAATCCGACTAGGCGCCAGCCTCCCGTAGCCCCTCTTCGCCCCTTCCCGTATAACGAGGACCGGACGCGAATCTGTGAGTGGGACATACGAGAAGTTGTCGCAAAGATCGGTGGGCAGTACTATTTCCCTCCTGAAAATCGATGTTCTGGGTTCGTAGGCGTTGGGTTTGTCATTGTGGATACGCACTTTCCGCCATACTCACTGCTACTACCCTTTAACGAGTTGATCGCCATCCTGTGGTCGGCAGTGGCACCCCATTGGCCTAACACCTTGTGTAGTGATTGCTAACGTCTCGATCACTACCAATCGAAGGGGTTCCATTACCGGACGCGGAAGATCGTCCACGTCGGATTCAGAATTGTGTAGCGTGCGGCGTTGGGAGATAGTGCTAAAACGGGATACTAAACACGTGCCCGCTTGGAGATAGTGCTAAAACGGGATACTAAACACGTGCCCGCTCCCTTCCACTCCAAACGCCGAGCCGTGGCCCGGTTGGAAGTCCGACACTACTTTTTGGATTGAATTCGAAACTTCCCCGCGTCGCGAACCCCGTGCGCATCGAAACCCGCCAGATCGCTCACTTCATCAGACCAACACGGGGGATTTCAGTTTTGTCTATGTCCCCACACTCGATTTTCCAAAAATCCTTGGTACACCCTATCTTGCTGTTTTTCGGGGCCACCCTTCCGCACCTTTAGCACTCCGAACGGAAAACAGCGCAGGGCGTGAGGTTTGTGCGTCACATGGCTACAATTTTAAATCTTGTCCCGGTCTTGTGGTATATGTTCTTATCTCACCTTGGTCTAAACGTACCTATGTAGGGTGTAGTTCACGTTCTCTGGATATACGATGGAAGGAGCATGTGCAGCGGGCACAGTATAAGGGAAGGGAAGGGAATGTTAGAAATCATAGGTTATATCGATGGTTAAGGAGGTATGGTGTTGCGAGCTATGTAGCCCTGCCTATCGCCCACCCTTCTGCTGAGGATTTGTTAAGTGTGAAAAAATATTTCATTCAAAGTTTTTCACCGTTTTTGAACAACACAGGTCAAACTAGGAACAACGCTAATAGGAAGAGTAGGTTAGGGCGGAAAGAGCGTAATAAGAAGAAAAGCATTCTGCGACGATATAGAAGCAGCCAAGATAACAGCCCAGCAGAGCTTTTGAGTTTTCAAGCGTCATTCGGTACGTCTTCAGTGTCACTTAATAAGATCTTGGATGAAGCTTTTGACAGACACCTGTTGTCATTTTCGGTGGAATGTACTCGGGGTAACGAATTGTGCGATAGATGGAAGGTTCTGAAGAGGAAGTATGGGTTTACGATGGTCAATTCTTCTCTAGGAACTTGTCTGTTTGCTAGCGGTGTCTGCTCAACATTAGCACCACTAGCACCGACGGGTGCGTTTTAAAAAAAAAAAAAAAAAAAAAAAAGGTTGCGAGAGTATGGCTTGTCCCGGGTAGTAAGTTGCAGTTCGACAATTTGACCCATTTTTGCTTTACAGTTCTTGGAGAAAAAGCAGGCTCTGGTACCTCTACTTTCTCATCCTGTTACTCGCAAGGAGTTGTACCGTCAGAATTTCAACGAGTTGTTGGAGGCGTACTCTACCATCCGTGCCTTTTTCCAGGAAAGATAGCGGGACTACATTGCGGGGCATAATCGCCAGGGTGTTGCGAGGAAAATACAAGTTCAACATTAGGGTCAAGCTAGTGATTTGGATTCCTTTTGACGCGAGTCTGTTGAAATCGAGATTCCGAAAATTATGTGTGCGAACAGTACGTGAATCCGCCATCAGGAAACCGTTGAAAGAGATTATATGTAGGCGACTGAAAGTAGTGTGCCCAAAAAACAAGTCGGTAGATGATTACATTCATGATTTTAGGATGTTGGCAAAAACTGACAATCTTTTCTGTTCATGTTCATCTTCATCCTCGATCTTTACTCGCAACAGTGAAGGCCACATCGCTTGACGTCTATCGCGTCTTGATGTGCATCCCATTCTCAAGAATTCTCGTAATATACCTTACCCCAATTTGCGTTTTGATATTAATGTTCTCTCTCATTCTGTTCGCCAATCTCTGAGTAAAGTCCAAAGCGATACTATTCATTTCGGTATTTCTACTATAGATTTGAGAAAATGTTTTTCAAAAAGAGATGAACATGTAGGTTTCCTCGAATCTGACCTAGAGGTGGTAAAAGAATGGAGTGCTAAGTTGCAGGGACTGGTGGTGTGTGCTATTGATCATAACCACGGGGACACCTTTATATGTTGTCCAGAGGTTTATCGCATTGGGTTGGATACGTTGTTCTTAGGGAACGAAGGGTTTCTGAAGGTCGGTAAAGGAGAGAAGTCGGTTATTGAAGGTATTAAGGTAGAGTTTTTTCGTAACAAATTTCAGAAGATTATGCGTTGGGATTATAAGAGCGAAATAGGTAAAGCTTATGCTATGCCAAAGCACAAAGACATCAAGCGATGGAGACCCATCTGTCCATCTTGTTTGGATCCTTTATCGCGCATGAGTAAAGTGATTTCTAAAGCCATCAACCATTTGGTATGGTGTCTTCCTGTTGATAGCAACTTTAATATGAAATCTCCTAGCGATTTCCCCCATCGTTTGTCCGAATTCAATCTTTCCATTAGTTAGTATGAAGTAGTGGTTGCTGCTAGTTTCGATGTAAAAGAAATGTGTTTGAATCTTCCCCACAGATCGATCGTTAGCGCTGTTGAATGGCTCGTTTGCTGGTTTGAAGGAAAAGATTTTGACCGGATCTTGGTGAAACGACGGGGAAAGGGAGCGAGGTTGACGAAAGGGCGTGAGGTACCTGAAGGATGGTGTTCATTGAAGTTCTCCAAGTTAATTAGACTGATAGTTTTTTTATCTCGCTAATACGTTTACAATGTGCACGGGATTGGTGATACAACAGGTATTGGGTATTCCGATGGGCAAACCCGCTAGCCCAGCTCTAGCTTGTCTTCTGTGTGTCCATAGTGAGTACTGCTTTCTCCGATCTCTGGCCAGTCAGGGTAGAATGTTCGCAGGGGTAAGATTGATCGATGACGTGTCCGTTTTTGTGCGATATGATAA